ACTTTCAAACCTGGCTATCACATCTCTATTACTCATAACTTATATAATGAAAATTTTTATTATAATCTTATTTTCAAATAAAAGTAAATTTAAAAAATGTTTTAAAGGGTCAAGTATCTAGGCCCTTGATAAATGTTTCCAGGTTGCCCATCCTGACCACAGTATCTGCACATGGTGAGGGGGAGTAAGGGTGGGGAGACCCAGGGAAATCACAGACCTGGCACACAAATCAATAAAGTGGGAACATCCTGAAAATGAAAGGGACAGATGGAATCCAATCAAGTCCATCGATTGCCAAAAAAGATTTTTGGCCAAGTCAGATTGAAAGGCCTCCTAAGGTAAGCCTCAGGAGAAATATCCTGCAGGTAATGGAGGAAAGCACAGGATGTATTTCCAGGCTGGTAAACCCCACTCAGAAAAGTGCCCAGGAAGCATGTAAACAGGGAGTAAAGGTAGCAAGATGCCATCTCCAGCTCCAACATCAAGGGATCCCCATTAAGGTGTCCCCATGAAGGGGACCCAGAGATGGTAACAAAGTAGCAGAATATTGAGCCACCAGGCATGGGGTTGTATCAGAAAGTATAGAACCTACTCAAGCCTCCTGATCCCAAAGTTCTATGAGAGAGGGCTGCCAATAGTAACCTGGTGGTTAAGGAAGACCTCAGGGACAGCAGATATAAATCTAATGGGGTCTTCAAGATCACATTCCCTCAGGTGGTCACAAAGATTACAGTGACAGCGACAGACTGAAAAGTCAATCATTGTGTGATTCTTCTGCCGTGTCTTACACAAAATAAGTGCCGAATCCATTTAGGATTCATTTTTTTAAGACCATGTCAAGTCACTAGGCTTTTAGTACATCCTGTGTGGTCAAGGGGAGGGTGGGTATTATGGAAGAGATAAGAAGGACAGATCCCTGTTCCAAAGATGCCAGAACCTACACGGAAAATGCCCATAGTTCCAAACATATAAAGAACCTCCATCTATGTTCATATGCACATTCAAACCTTGATGGTTATGACTTCAGAGAAAAGGCAAAGTGGAGAGGAAAAACTGCACAGAGATCATGGGGCAGGAAGATATGGGTCCCCTGCCGAGTCTTGACAGACAGATAACATTTGAGCCAGAAAAAAAAAAATTAGGAAGAATGTATTTCAGCAAATAATTAGTGATAAACAAACATATTCTCAATGAACAGTAAAAGTAAAAAAGAGAAGTAAACTGGGAGAAGGAAAGGATAATCCTGAGCAATCATGGATTATCATGTTGGGAAGGAGAGTAGAAATTGCTCATCTGTTCATTCATAAATTCATCAACAAATAGTAGATGGATACCAATCAGGTTCTAGCACCTCAACTAACAAACTACTGACTCCTGAACAACAGGGGAGCACCTGGAGGAAAACTATTAGACAACTCCTGCTCACTGGAACTGAATGAAAATCCATGTTTCTCAAACTGCCTGATATGGGGAAGTGCCTAGATTTTTCTGTATATAACTGGAGTTGGGGGAGTAATAACTAGCTTAGAAGTAATGAGACCATTCTTTGGGATAAGGCATCTTTCCTGTAGCATTTCCCACACAGTTGAGCCCACTTTGGCCTCCTGAGTATTCCAACTCTCACAACATCAATGGTGCCTTGAACATAGTGTCTACCCAATAAATATTTGTTTGTGGATCTTGCTTACTGTCTGCAAAGACCCATGCAATGGTAGGCTAGGGTTGTTCAGTTGTCCAAGGTGCCAGACAACAACTTAAGTCCATGGCATGAGTCCTATTGGAGGTGGTGGCATATATTTTACAATGCTTGATGAAATTGAGGGCAGGGGTCAGAGATGCTTACAGCAATAACTATGTAATAGGCATTGGTATTTAAAACATAAGTGACTCTGGCTTTAAGTAAATGTTTCATATCCAATAAAGAAGGCTAAGTATCTATCATTCTGATAGATTGCTATAAGTGAAACATTAGAGAGGCTCTTAAACACCTTGTTTTAGATCTTCATTACCTGAAATTAATCTTGAGCAGAATACCACACCCAATATGGCTGAACTCCATTAAGTAGCCAGTGAGATAACATAGGCTAAGCTTTGTCTAATAACAGCAGAATCAGGAAGGAATCCAATGGGACAATATCACTTCTGCAGCCCAAAAGCCCTGCAAGCCAGAGCAGTAGAGAATGCTTTCTAGAAATTTCCAAATGTAACTATCAAGCCCCTGGAGACGACACAGGATAGTCTCACAGTCTCTTCCAAAAAGCAACACAGGGGCCACGATTATTGTGTAACTAGCATTACTAATAAGGGGAGACTGGTGAGATCATGACTCACCTGTGCTGCCTCACCTGAGAGCAGCGAGAACTTTGCTGACTCCAGATCCCTTTCAGGACTTCTACAGAATCATCAGTGTTGGTGAAAATGTCTCTGGAAATGTCCAAGGGCAATTTCTATCAATATGCAGAAGGAAACCAAAAGCTCAGGATGACATAAATTCAGAGCATAGAGAAGGAGGAGGCACAAATACAACTAATACACTCAGCTAAAAATACTCAGTGCAAAACAAAACAAAACAAAAAATTCAGTGCAAATTTTCATGTTGAGGTTTGGATATGAGGTGTCCCCCAGAATCTCATGTGTGAGACAATGCAAGAATGTTCAGAGGTGAAGTGGTTAGATTATGGAATTGTAACCAAACCCGTGAATCAATCTACTGATATGGGTTGTAACTGTAGGCAGTTAGGACATGGCTAGAGAAGATGGATCACTGGACTTGCCTTTGGGGTATATATTTTGTCCCTGGTGAGCAGAGGTCTCTCTCTGCTTCCTATTACAATGTCCTGAGCTGCTTTCCTTCTCCTTCCTTGCCCTTCCACCATCATGTTCTTCTGCCTTACCTTTGACCCAGAGCTATGGATTTGGCTGCCCCTGGACTGAACCTCTGAAACCATGAGCTACGAGTCAAATAAATTTTTCCTCCTCAAAACTGTTCTTATCAGGTATTTTGGTCACAGCAATGAAAAAGCTGATTAAAACACTTCAAGAATGATGATAACTCAAACCCCCAAGAATCAGAGATACTCGCCCCACAATATTGATTTATACAAGTGCATGCCACATATGTGTCCAGAGACTTCTGCAGAGCCACGCCATGTGCCCATAAACAGAGATCATGTGGACTTTATCATTCATGAGGCACTTGGAGAACGTAGCTAAGCAGTATTCCTTCAACATTTGCCTTTAAGCCCAGCAAGAAAAAACTATTTGCCAGACTATACCATGAAACCTACTTTTCAATGGGTTATTTAATAAAGAAAAAATTTTAATAAAGTAATAAAAATATAAGGTTCTTCTGAATCAGCTTTGTCCCCAAGACAGACATCTCACTCCTCTAGCAATCAGAGGGTGGAGATGGAAAGCAACAACAGTAACTGTCTAGCTACAGTATGGAAGTCTTAGAAACCCTGGCTCAAAATTCCTCCAGCAGGAAAGTTTCTCCAAAAATGAAAACAACATTTCACTCTAGTATACCATCATCATGCACTACTGTATCTAAACATGCTTCTTCCTTTGACACATCTGGCCCACTTGAATTTCAGCATTATTTACCTTTCCTAATCCACCAATCAATTATTCCTAGTAATCATAGTTAACATGTATACACAAGGTACTCTTTTACTTGCGTTGGTCTTTCTATATTAACTCCATCATCCTAACTTCATTCTAAGAAAAGTACTATTGCTACCCCCTCTAAAGAAGTGAGGAAAAGGCGGCTCAGGAAGGCAATTAACTATGCTGCCTGCAGTCACACAGCAATTAAGTGGAAGTCTTGTGATCTGTACTTAGCAATTTGGCTCCATCAATCCTGCTTTTCATCCCAACACTGTCCTGTACAGGCTTTGTGTGTTTATTCCCCAGGTGAATAAGATGAACCCGCACGTACAATCTAGAGGGTAACATTAAGGAAAACTGAGTGTTCTTGGACACATTTGTCCCCAATTCCTTTCATCTCATTCCTTATTCCTAGTATTTAGCAATTAGATATTTCTTCTGCCCTCTCAAAATATGCTTTTGATATAAAAATGGCCACAAGATATCCCAGCATGCACCGGCATGACATGAAATGGGCAATTTGTTTACTTTGACCACGTGGCATGTTCTTGACATTAACATCTTAGCTGGTGTTCTAGGTATTAGGCATTTTGCTTGACTATAAGAAAGTGAAGAAATTAACACTTGCTGGCCACATGTCGGGTGACGTGCTCCAAGCTTTCGACCTCATCCTTTTCTTTAATTATAGAAACAGATCCACCAAAGGTAATTTGTGGAATCTCATTTTTAGAGAAAAGAAACAAACTCAAAAAGGTCCATATTTATATCCTGGTCAGGGAGGATCACCTACAAGTGATGGCATGTAGGTTTACACCAAAACCTGACCTGAAGCTGAGGCTGTTGCTACAGCAGCTCAGCGTTCTGGGTAACAGATACCATACCCTTTAAAACCAGAAACTATTCTTATGTTTGTTTTTTTTTTTTTCCTCCCTCTGAGCAATGAGTCTTTACAGATTTACTGGTTGTTAAATGCTACTGACTCTAGCTAATTCCCAAATTAACTAGATTCCTTTCGGAGCTTGTAAAATGTGCTACACACTCAACTTCCGAATTTAGCGTGCAAGATGATGACCACAGCAGCAAGAATGGAGCAACTTTCTTGTTAGAACAATGCACGCCCAAAAGCCTCCCTTTAATTTCTACCTTCTTTTACGAGGACTGTGTGAGCGAGGACACACCTAGGATACCGCATATTAATTTCAACACAGCTAATACCCAAAATGTCCCACCAATTTACTCTTCACTGACAATGTTAAAAGAAAATGATTTATGCAGATCAATCATCTCGCTCATCAAGTCCTACCCTGACAGCCAGCCTTCATCATTGCTATTTAAAAGGCACTGCTGACAGAAAAGACCGACTCTTTGATTAAGGGCCCTGTCTGGCTAACCTTTTATTTGAAGAATGATTGCCGCTGAGTGACAAATACTTTTCCATTCATTTCAAGGCAAAGATATTGACATTCAAATTCTTGATGGCTACACTGAGCAGATGCCACTGTTGGCAAGAGGCATGAGAGCAACAGCAGGTACGCCATGGCTCTGGGGCAAGGGGAGAAAGAATAAAATGAAAAGCACGCAAGCAGCGCTGGCTAAAGATCCTCAACAAGTGAGCGCTGTGGTCTCAGCCAGATCCTCCTTCCTCGCAGTTATCAAAGGAGAGCTGTTTGTAGTTTCGCCCCAGCACTCTTAAAAGTGCCCTTGCTTTACCTTGACCCTACTGGGAACTTCAAAGGCCCTGTGGACTACAAGAAAAAGAGCTGAGGAGCATGAGTTCTCAACCCTAGGGACTCTTCTCCATCCTGAACTGTGCATCCCAGCAGACCTCAGGCACAAAGGAATGGCCAGGACCTTGGGTGACTAAATACAAATAGAAGGAGCTCCTGAAGACTCACCCTTTTTTAAAAAAAAAAAAAAA